CTGAGATGTTCATCAATTTTGTATCAGAACCAACCATACCTTATTGTTTTACAAGTCATTATCATATCTGGTAGAATAAATTTTTAACTTCCAAACAACAAACTCCAATTTCAATTCCATAAATATAATTTTACATTTTTACTGTATTGAGTTCTATCATCCAGAAATGTGTCTCTTTATTTTCCTCAATTTTCTTTTATATCCAGTAGTTTGGCTAAGTCTTATACATTTTTCATTGATTTATATGTAGGTATTATATTGTTTCTTTTGCAGTTGCAAATGTGATATTAGTATTAATTGCACCTTCATTTGTTGATATATCTATTTTTTAAATCTACTTCCAATCTTAAATAATTGCATTCTACTTCCCATTTTAAATGTAAGCCCTCTTCAATTCTTTCTAGAACTCAGACCATATAAACAGATTTTTAAAATGTAATATCTCTATTTCTGAAAAGTTCAATGTGGAAAAAGCTACTCCTTTTTATTCTAAGAAAATAAGAATAGAATTTTTAGTGGATGGCTCTCCACAGAATCTTTTCTTTTCTCTTTATAAGTTTGTTTCTCAGACTACAGAAAAAGAATTTGGTTTCAGGTGTTTTGTGCAAAAGAATTACTTCTTGGGGGAGGTGCACCCAAAATAAAACTACACCAAACTAATCTTTTAACTTCAGCTGTTTGCCTGGTGTGGTCTGATGTTTTGGGCACTTTCTTGAGTCATTAAAAGAATTTTGAATGATTTCTTTTTCTGTTCTAAGATGTTCTTATACAACAGCTGTTTGGGTTACCTGTGTAGGTTTTGCCACATCAGTGCAGTGAGACTGTGTTGAGATGAATTCTTTCTAAGACTGCACCTGTTTAACTGATTAAGTGGCAGGGTCTACTACTGACAGAGGAACTCTGGAGAGAAGCAGGATTGGAATGGAAGAACATGTCGGAGGTGAAGGCAAATCACCTACATGTCTGGAACTCATAAAAGATCTAGGCTGGAGAGTTACAGTTAGTAATTGGTGCATTGACAGTGATTAAAGCTGTGGGCATAGTTAAATTTAAGTAGGAAGAGAATATCAAATAGAAGAAAAGAATTCCTAGACCTGGCTCCTAAAGGCATTCAGGATTTATCAGTAAAGGAGAATGAAAACTAGCACAGTCATTGGAGAAGGAGAAAGAGGAAGATATTTCATAAAAGCCTAGAGAAGATATATTTGAAGAAGAAGGGTTTTGGCTGTGTTGATTGCTACGGAAAGGCCGAATGTGTATAATGTAAGAAATGTATTAGTCACTTTACCATTTCTGGGACAAAATTTCAGACACCCACAGCTTAAAGAAAGAGTGGTTTATTTTGGCTCAGAGTCTAGTCCATGGTTGGCTGGCTTGAAGGCAGAAACACAGCAGAAGGGCAATGGCAGAGAAAAGGTATTCGATCCATGGCAGACAGGAAGTAGAGAGCAGAGCAAGGACCCAGGGACTAAGGGTACACTTTCCTGGGCCACACACCCCGATCTTCTGATCAGGCTGTACCTTCCAGCAGCACAGTCAGCTGTGAGCTCGCCTATGGATTAATCCACTGAGGAGCACAGCGCTCCCATGATCCAGTCACCTTCCAAACACTAGAGGCTTTGGAGGACGTTTTAGATCTAAACCAGAGAAGAGAATGTCAACTGAGCTTAAATCTTATGCCAGTGGTCCATGGAGGTGTAAGAATTATATGATAGGTTTTCTATCCTAGTAGTTGTTACAGCTCCACGAGGAATTCCAGTGCAATTTAGATAATACAGAGTGACTATGGGAACCACGTCACAGATAGTTTTTGACTAATAATTAGAAAATAAGCAATGATCATTTAGACTTTCTATACGCCAAGTGCTTTGTATATATGTTGTACAATCTCAACCTTCAAACTCGCCATTTTCCACAGGTAAGGAAACTATGTTTAGAGATTACTTTGCTAGTATGAAAAAAGTAAGGTATTAAATTGTAACTCAGACTTGATTCTCTCTGACACCAAGGACATGGTTTTTCAACTCTGCCACATTCTATGACAATGATCTAGGCTTTTGAAAAGTAAATGTGGGGATTGGATAGCATTTGATCTGAAATGCTGTGGGAATCATAGGTATCACGTCAAGTTATTGTCTGAAGCGATGATTCGTAAGGTGTAGGGGACCTCCGAGGCCTTTGACCCATTCAGGGGTGGCACAAAGTCAAATCTGTCTTTATAAAATAGCAGTGAGATGTTATTTGCCTTTGCACTTCTTTGACATCTGCGCTAATGGTTCAAAAACAAAGGACGTTCAAAGTGCCCAGTCTTACTCCAAGTCAAAGTAGCATTAGCAACTCCGATGATGTTCATTATATTCTTCACTGGCACATTTTTCATGCAGTGAGATGTTGATATATTAGTGTGTGTCCTTTGAATTTCTGGGTGAAGAGGTGGGAAGCACTCATAAAGCACTTTTGAGCCATGCAACACCATAATCATCTGGTGGAAAATACTTGTGTGGTTGTTTGTGTTGTCGAATGGACTAGCTGGCTTCTCATGAAAGACTATTTTTCCTTCAAGCACAGCCAGATAAGTGGGATTTTTCAGATTTGGGCATTTGGCAAACATTTTCTTGAAAATGAGCAGAGCAAGCCAGAAAGATTCAAGTCAAGCTGTCAGCATTTCTTGCCAGTGATAAAAATTTAAAATTTTAATCCAGAAGCAAAATTTCAGAAAACTTAAATCTGCCACCATGATCTTGACAGCTTGTCAACAGTAAAAGAGTTTTCTAATGACAGAGATTGGAAGTGGCATTAATGAATGCAATCTTTTATATTGTATGGTGAAATATGTCAACATTTAGAAAATATGCATAACTCAGTGAGAAGCTATTTTTCAATTATGCACGGATAAAAGATCTTTTGAAAACATGAGGCAGATTGATGGATTTCAGTTTAACGGTAGAGAAGAATTCACTGATAGGGTTTCAGATTCTACCTTGAGAATAATCTTTAGGAAACTATCATTTATTATTAAGTAGTACCAAAGTAGTATAATTATCTGAAAAGGCTGTTAATATGCTCCTTCATTTTCCAACTACATATCTTTGTATGATCAGATTTTTTCTTACATTTCATCAAAACAACATATGGTAACATCTTGAATGCAAGAGCAGAATTGAGAATCCAGATGGCCTTAAATAAGCCAAATATTAAAGATATTCTCAAAAGTGTCATACAGCGTTACTCACTGTATTTTCTTTTTTTTACTTTTGGTTTTGGGAAGCATGGCTCTTTTATGTATGTTAACATGTAATAAGTCTGCTATAAAACATTTAATAAATATTTTTAAAGTCTCAATTTTAATTTTTGATATGAAAAATATTATAAAAGAAAACTTTTATTGTGTCCTAAACAGTTTTTAAAAGTAAAGGGAGGGTTTTTTTTGTTGTTGTTGTTGTTGTATTGTTTTGTTTTTTTGACACCAGGGGTTGAACTCAGTTCCTTGCGCTTGCCAGGCAGTCAGTGGAACCACTGAGCTAAATCCCCGGCGCAGTAGAGGGAGGTTTTGAGGGCTACACTTGCATTTAGAGGTTTTGGTGCCACATTCACAGGTTGTACAGTAAGGCAGCTGTCTTCAGTCTGTTTTCTCTCCACTTTTCAGAATGAGTCTCTTCTTTACTTTTCTGTCTTCAGGATTACTAACTACATCTTTTATAATCACTACTCTTCCCTTGAGACCATTCAGCATACTTTTAATTTAAATTATAGTTTTAAATTCTATAATTTCTATTTGGTTCCACTTCTACTTATTTCCCGAGGTTCTCCATTTCTTCATTTATTTCAAGTGGATTTGTGGTTGTTGAGCCATTTGTATGGTAACGATTTCAGAATCCTTGTGGGATAATACCAACTCTCCTCATTCATCTCAGTACTGGTGTTGGTTGACTGACCTTTTCTGACTCTCTGTGTGACAGATGATATTTTGTTGTATTTTGCATATTGGTGCCTGTTGATTGCCTCTCCTTGGTTTTAGTGTGATGGAAGAATTTTAATGTGTCCTGCACTTTTTGATTAATATGTTAAAAGACTCCTGATCCTATCTAAGTCTTCTGTTTTAGCAGATCATCACCTGGTTTAGATTTAGCGTAAGTTCTGATCTGCATTTGTGGGCTTTAGTTGCAATGATGGTTTGGTTTTCTGAGCACTTGCAATCGTATTCTGCTGTGCTTTGCTTTGCTGTGCTGGTTGTGGACCTGGGGTTGAAGATGGGAGCTTTGCTGTTGGCAGTGTTACAGTGCCTGGTGCATGTGCTGGGGACTGGGACAGCCCTTGGCTTCCACCCATGAATGAGACAGCTGGCAGGAGCCCCGGTTGTGAGACAGGGCTTTGGTCTGCTGTTATTTCTTTGTCTGGCTTTCCTTTTCCTGGTCTTTTGGGTACAGAGAGCAAGCTTTTCTGCTCTGTTGTTTCTAGCCTATGCTTTTTGATGATTCCTGGCTGCAAATACCTTGGTACCAGATTTTTAGAATAAGGAAGATAAAAAGAAAAGTCAGAACTAGGCACACGCTCTGACCCTCGCTTTGGGAGGCTGAGGCAGGAGGATTGCAATATCAAGGTCCACTGGGGTATCTTAGGGAAACCTTGTCTCAAAAAAATAAAAAATGAAAAAAGGGCTGGGTTCAGTGTTATGGCCCTGGGCTCAGAACCCAGGACCATACAAAAGCAAAAACAAAACAAAGCAAAACAACAACCACAGAATTCAGGTACTTCTATGTTTCCACTTCTTGTGAGGCATTTGGTCATTCCATCTTCTTCTAGCCCACTATTAATTATTTGTTATCATTGTCATTTAAATCATTTCAAAGGAATTGAGAGGGAAAGATGAAGAAAAATTCTCCACAACCTTGGTTGCAAGCACTACTGCATATTTTTATGTTGAGAAATTAAAAATCTGAGATTTTTTTTTTTGCTGTAGGCAGTCATTATTAAGTGTTATATGCTTGTTTTTCTTACAGGAATTATGTTGGAGTATGAAAAACATGGAGAATTAAAGACCAAATCAATTGATTTACTTGAGCTTGGCCCCAGGTAAGTAAGCTACAATACCCCAGGTATTCACATCAAGAACTTTTACTGGAAAACCCTGATGCAAGATGATGTGTGGGTGAGCTTCAGAAACCATATGCAATACACTATTTAAAAAAATATTCTTCTGTGCTGTATTTAATCTTGTTTGCTTCAGTGGGTTGTGCCTAAAGGTCTTGCTGAATGCAGAGCTGGTAGTAAAAAGAGGGTTATGAATCTGCCCTTTTTTCTTTTCAAGCAGGCTTCTTTTTTGTAAAATAAGCTTTAGTTTAGAATAGTTTTAGAAATGTTGTGAAGACATTTTTCCATATATCTCACACTTAGTTTTCCCTATTATTACTATCTTAGCTTAGCGTGGTAGTTTTGTCACAAATAATGTGTCGGTAGTGTTACGTTATTGTTAATTTAAGTCCAAAGTTACTCAAATTTCCTTAGTTTTTCCCTACTTTTCTTTTTGTTCTAAGACCCTATCTAGGATCCCACAAGATGTTTGGTCATCGTGTCTTCTTAGACTCCTCTCAGTGACAGTGTTTTGACTTTCTTATTTTTTATGACCTTATAATTTTTAGGAGTACTGGTTATGGCATTAAAAAAATCACTGAGCCTGTTTCTCAGCAAATAAATATTTAATAGAGTTGATTGCACATGTTCCTTTTGATTAATAGCCATTAGGCAGTGGAGTTTGTCTCCCTCTGAAATTTGGCGTGAACCCAGAGAAAACCTTTTGTAGGGTCACAGTGCCCAGAACTCACTCCATTTAGGATATATCATGAAGATCTCTGTTTCAAATGATAGAGTCTGAGTAGTGATGATACCTGTGGGAGTCCAATTTCAGATAAGGTGAAGATATTCTCAGTGGGTGGAACACAGAAACAAATCAAACCTCAAACCTCAGCATACTGTGTTGTAAGAGTTGTGACCTAAGACTGTTAGCAATGGGCTCTCACGATCCACCCAGACATATCCAGAAATGTGCTTTGCTAATCCCTTTAGCAGGTGCCGAGCTAATCAAGTTGACACAGTGAAACATAACCACCACATGCCTGTTGGAGACTTGTGGTTTAAGGGGGACACTTGACCGACTAAAGGTGAAGACAGAGCATGGCTTGGAGGATGTGAGTCTAAGTCTTGCTTTAGGTGGGACAGAGCAGGAACTCAACTGACATTTTAAAAATCAAATAATAAACAATCGACATAAATACTGACATTGAATTTCATCTCTAACAATCTTTGTTTAACCTACTTTCGGGGACTAAGAGGCCTAAGATCAAACAACATGTTACTTTTGTGTGGAATGTGTTAGTTTTACATGACTGCTAGCACGCAGAAAGCTTGTTAGACATTCTTTGCAACTTTCACAGGCAAAGTTTTAAATTCGATTCTATACAACACTATAATGATAACACTCATCCCTACTCTTCTTGGGCTTATTTCTAGTTGAAAAATGAACTGTGACAAATACAGCATCATTTTACTGTTACAGATAAACTTCTACATGAGAGTAATTTCTCCCTACAGATTCAGAAGAAGATATAATTTATATTTTAAAAATATAGATCCTCAGGTTCTTTCAGAAAGAGCTTACTGGGCTGTGAACCCAGGAGTTCTTAATTTTTTCAGATTCTACGCAGGAAGGCCTGCTCTACTGAATAGTGCTGGTCTCCTGCAGAGATATAAGAGGCAGCCATTCACAGGCATGACAGTTTCCTCATAACAATCAAAGATTTGCAATATAGGGAGTAAATCAGTATCTCAAAGTTTAAAACTTTGGATCTCATTTTTAGGCCTGCCCAAGAATCTGGGAGCACCGTGCTGGTAAATGTACTTGCCTTGTAGGTGACATACTGGATTTACTGTGTAAGAACATCGAGAGTTGAAGGCTGCAGGATTGGGATGTTCAGATTAAATATCTGGTTAGTTTGTATTTTGTTAGGAAGTCTGTTTTGATTCGTTCTAGCTTTTGAAAATCTTTCCAAAGGGCATTATTATCCATTGACTTCTTATGAAAGTATAATTGTTGTGACAGCTGAATACCTCAGTTTATTCCTGTAAGAGTAATAAATGGTCTCTGATTCATCTCTGTTCAGAATACTCAATACCGTTATAAAAAAATGTAGTTTTAGAGAACCAGGAGCATACCTTTTACACACTAGGACCTGCGCTATAATGGGTACTCAACAAACATAAATCGAGTAATCAGTCTTCTGGCTCACAAAACTGGAGGTTCAAGAATCTTTATTTACATAGTGAGGAGAGAGATACTTAAGAGGGGGTCACATTTCAGGGACACGGAGCCTAAGATAGAGGTTTATTGTACAGTGACAGACCAGTAAAGCATCAGGACCGAGCAGGAGCAGATCAGTCCGCTCTCCTGAGGTGGTGCAGGTTGGACAACAGTCTCTGGCAGCACAAGGTGTAGTCCAGGGGCAACACGAGTAGGGGAGAGGAGTCCCCTGTGGGGCAGAAATGGCCAAGCTCGCACACCCCTCCCGTGCTCCCATGGCCTGAAGGTCACCTGGGAGGCTCTTGCCCTGGCTGCAGTGTTAACCATAGACCAGGTGAGTGCCGTGGAATCTTGGCACACATGCCTCGAGAAAAGTGTCAGTCACGGAAACACCTATCCTAAGAAACCCAAGCATCTTGCTTCTGTACCAACATGCTCTTCACCGACATGTGTGATTTTCCCCAGAAACCTGTTGGGAAAGAGGATGATACTTTTTAACATTTCATATGCGTGCTTCATACAGCGATGTAGTGCCTCATGCAGTGAACCTAAATGCAAGTATTGACATGAAAGTAAGTAATTCCTTGGTGAATTGCAGTACTGATGTCGGTGCTTTAGTAGAGGAGATCCAGAGAGCAGAGCCTCTGATCACAGCGTCGCGAACTGAGCAAGTCAGGCTGTTAGTTCAGAGACTGCAGGCAAAGCTGGAGGAGAACAGCAGCCACGTCTTCTACCTCTTCAAGGTAAGGTGTGTTTAGAACACCAAGCAGAAGAAATCTGGTAAAATAACTCACTTTTTTCTCTTGCCCTAAAAATAATTTTCGGTTTCCCCGAAAGTACTTTTTTTCAACAAAAATACTTCTGTGGAGTTTATTCCAGTGTTCATTTATACTTGCTAGGCATAGCATTCAGTATTTGTGAAATGAACGCAATTCAGCGCACTCATTTCTTGAGATGCTATATATTCACCGGAAGTTTCTCTCCTTTCCCATGATAAATTGAAACGATTGTTACCATTAAGGTAGTTTTAAGTTATTGAATAGTTAAAATTATTTTCTAGTTCTAGCAGTTTTCATAAATTATGTTCTATGGTTTATAAACATTTTGTATTTTCAGCTTTCATGTGAATTTCAGTCAATTATTTATAAAACTTAAATAATTTTAGTCTGACCTAATGTGCTTATTTCTCTCTATAATTTTGACGGCTAAATCAAATATACAATACGGGCAGTCATTTAGTGCTTTTATGAACAACTTTTTATTATTTAAAAATTCAATACTTTATTCTAAATATTACCTCATGTTATACTACTTTTATCTTGTTATTTAAATATAATTATAATAACAAACATAATTACTGTTTATGTACGTGTGTATTCTATCTGATATAAACTATCCAGATGCTCTTTGGTAGTTATCCATTCAAATTTCTGGAAAAAAAAATGAAGTTATTTTTGTAATATCTTTTCTTCCAGTAGGTGGAAGTGTTGAACTTCTAATGTGAGTTCTGAGACTGCAGTTACCATGTAATTATTCATCTGGGAGGAAAGCTTCTGATAGCGGGAGGGGACGCTATTAGTAGTTAAACTTTAGCAGCAGGTATAACTGGGAAGATCTCAGCCTAAAAAATTACTCTTTTAATTAGATTTTTAAAATTTTGTATATCCTTCTAGTGAATATTCACTAAGCATCCACTATATGCTAGACAATTTATGGATTGAAAGATAAGTAAGATATATCTTCACTTTAAAGAAATTTTAGGATTCAAAAAGCAATAATACACTCTAAATTATAACTGGATCATATTTAATGTAGTTCCTATATAGTCTTCATACATATACACAGAACTATATGCAAAATATAAAATATCTTAGAAGTTGGTGCTATTTGGAGCCTCAAAAATCATTGAATACCTAGGCATTAACGTAACCAAGGAATTGAAAGATCTCTACTACACAATACAGTACTTTGAAAATGAAAACTGAAGAGGACACCAGAAAGTAGAAAGACATCCTTTTGTGCCTGGATAGATGGAACCAACGTTGTCAAAATGGTCAGATTACCAAAACTGCTGTACAGATTTAATGTAGTCACAGTCAAAACACCAACAACTTTTTTCAGAGAACTAGAAAAAAACAACCCTAAGCTTTATATATGAAAGCAAAAGAGACCGAGAATAGTAAAAGCAATTCTGAGCAATAAGAGCAAGGCCGAAGGCATAACAACCCCAGATCCCAAGTTATATTAAAATGCTATAATGGTAAAAACAGTATGGTATTGGTACAAAGGGGCTCAGTGGCACTGTGCCTGCCTTGCAAGTGCAAGGTCCTGAGTTTGATCCCTGGTACCAAAAACAAAAACAAAAACAAAAAACAAAACAAAACAACAACAACGAAAAACTAGACACAGAAATTAATGGAACAGATGAGAGAATGTAGAAACAACCCCAAGTATTTTCAGACAGCTTATTTTTGACAAGGAGGGCAAAAAATACCCTGGAAAATGATAGCCTCTTTAACAAAGGTTGCTGGAAACCTAGGTATCCACTTGCAGAAGACTGAATCTAGATTTCTCACCATGCACTAAAATAAAATAAAAATGGATCAAAGCCCTAAATATTATAACAGAAACACACAGTCTGCTGGAAGATTGAATGAGTAAACACTTGAAGACCTAGAAATAGGCAAGAGCTTTCTGAACAGAACACCAATTACAAAATAAATAATATAGTGAATCAACAAATGCACTTACAGCAAATTAAGAAGTTTCTGCACAGTAAAGGAAAGACCCATGAGACAAAGTGACAAGACAACTTACAGAATGGAAGAAAATGTTTACCTCAGACAGAGGACTAGTAACTAGAATATATAAAGAACTCAAAAAAATCTACATCCCCAAAATAAAACATACAAAAATTGGCACAAATACCCAAGGGTTAATGTCATCATATTGTATACCTAAAAATCAACTTAATGCATAAAAATTTGGCAAGTGAAATAAACAGACGCTTCTCAAAAGAAGTAAAAATGGCTATATATACATGAAAAAATGTTCAACATTTCTGGCCATCAGAGGAATGAAAATTAGAGCAACAGTGAGATTTTATTTCACTCCAAAAAAGACGGTCATCATCAAAAAACCCCAATAAATTTCAGTGAGACCACAGTGGAAGAGGGACCTCTTCCACACTGTTTGTGGGAATGTAAAGCAGTACAGCTACTGTGGAAATCAGTGTGGAGAGGCCTCAAACAACCAAAACTAGAAATTCCATTCAACCTAGCTATTCTCCTTTTTATTTTCCTCAAAGAATTAAAGACATCATAGTATGGTGATACATGGAAACCCATGTTTATTGCCACAGAACTCACACAACATAAATCTTGGAAGCAACCTATATATCCATCAGCCGATGAGTGGATAAAGAAAATCGGAATCATTTGTAGGAAAATCGATGCACTGTGAGACCATAATGCTCAGTGAAAGAAATTAGACACAGAAGCTGAAATATTTCATGGTTTCTCTTATATAAGAAATCCAAAACATAAATAATTTAAAGTAAAAGGTAAATAATAGGAAACAGAGATAGCCCTTGTATGAATGGGAAGAGAACCTAGAGGTGGAAGGGGGAAGGAGTGGACGAGAAAGGGAAGTAAAAATGATTAAGACGCTGTATGTGCATACCAACACCCATGATGAATGTATTCATTATGTAGCATAAATATTTACCAACATGAATAAGAAATTAGTGCCATTTGGTATCTTATTTAACAGCCATCATTTATCATGAAGGTAAGTTGGTAGTGATCAAAAGCACAGAGCCAATTAAATATCTGTACCTGACCAATAATTTATGGTTTGTCTTAATAATGGAAGGTGCAGACTGGTCCCCGTTTGTTTAGGTATTGTATATTGCTCACTTATTACATGTAATTAAGACAACATTGAATGTCTTCACTTGCTTGAAGTTAAAATGAGTGAATCGAACTCAAGTTGGTGTAATTCCAAAATGAAAGTTTTTTTTTTTTTTTCCATTGAAGGTTCTCAGAGCACATATATTTCCGTTGACTAATGTTGCCCTTAACAAATCAGGCTCATGGTAAGATTATATTTTTATTTCTAATTTTTAGCAATCAAGGGATAAAAATTTCTCAGTGTTTGCCAAATAAGCCCCTCAGTTAAATATCAAATGTTTTCATTTTTCTTGATTTCTGTATCTTCCTGAATATAGAGGAGAAACGTAGGCTCTTTCTGTCTCCGTTCCAAGTTTGCTGTAGCATTTGTGTCATTTGGGTAGGTAGCATTCTGTGATCTCAGCTAACATAGGATGATATGACTTGGGAATAGTTCAGGTGGGGTAATCTCATATTTGCCTCAGCAGTAGGAGCGATCAGACAGTGGCCATGATGTGGTTGGTCGTGATCAGTCAATTCAGAGCTGGCTCAGGGTGTTGGAATACGATGAATAAAACCTTCAAGCCAATGTTCAGCGCATGCCTTTGGTCAGCTTGGAATCTGAGGTGCTAGGTAGGAAAGGTGAGCTAGAAAGCTTATTTGGACTTATAGACATAAACATAAGTATGGTTTTCTAGGACTGCTGTAATAAAATAGCACAAACTAAATGACATACACAACAGAAATTCATTGCTCACAGGTCTGGAGGTTAGAAGTCCAAGGTGCAGGTGGCTCCTGCTGCAGTCATGTGACTGTACCTGAGCTCATCACACGTTTAGTGATGCTGTTGCCAAAGGCAGTTATATTCTGAGGTCCCAGGGTACTAGGACTTCAGCATATGAATTTTGGAGTGGGGATGGAACATGGTTCAACCATTAGCTATAGCACACACATGTATAGTTCCAAAGGGAAAAGCTACAAAGAAAATGCTTTAAAGGACAAAAAACAGTGCTGTCTTATGAGTCTTGCTGTTTAGGTTCACACATCAGAATTTGCTTCTAATTTGTATCATTACTACTAGATATTCATACTTGCCTTTCAGCTTTGTGCATTTTTTTTCTATGTTGGAAACTCAATCTGTTTATTTTTGAATTAATGTTTCTATTTCAGAGATATTTTAAAAAGAAAGTCCCCTTTCTACTTAAAGAAAGACTAAGATGCTGATATGGGGCTAGAAAACATTTGATCAGTATACCTTTTCTATAATAGAATAGTCATGTCAAAAGGTTTGTTTATTCTTTAAAGAATGTGTCCCCCAGACACATGCATGTCAGTATGCCCATCATTGCTCTAGTCCCTGGGAGGGTGGGACTATAGCAGAAGGGCAGAAGCACTAGGATCTTCAGAGACTAGCAAGAAGATGGATATGGTTAATCAGGTTTCATTTGGGGGTGAAATTGAGGTATGAGAGCTAGTCTGGGCTGCCAGCACAGAAGGTTTTAAAGTCTCCATCTTCTGTGAAGCAAAGTGGATTTTTAAGGACTCTGTGTGCACTAAGATTCACGGGATGGTGGTTTCATTTGTTTAGGCAAGAAATAGAGGCAATGGGAAGAAGAGGCTATCCTAAGGATGTATTTTGAGATTGTATTAATAGAAATAACTGACAAAGCTATTTTTAGTGTGTGGGGGAAGAGAGGCAAACGGCAAAATTATATGGTCTGAACAACTGAGGTGATGTTATTTCCATATCTATCTATCTATCTCCATGTATATTGTTTCATAAATATTACTGATTATTATGTGTATTCTTTAATCATGTAGGATTACATATTATGGGACTATAATAATTATTAGCAGAATTACTCTATTTTGTTTAGTGACTCACTTTTTGGTTTGAAATAAAGACATTTCTAAGTCAGAGGATTTAGATTTTGCACATAACTTGCCCAGTGGACACAATCTTCATGACAAAGAAACAAGATACAGCAGCAGTCATTATCCTGCAGGTAAACAGGGAGCCTTTGTTAGCACACTGCTGTTCTCACCCTGTGCTATGCTTCTGTTCCTTGTGTTAGTTTTATCACAGGGAGCTACGATCGCACCTGCAAGGTCTGGGACACCAGGTCCGGAGAGGAGCTGCACACCCTGGAGGGTCACAGGAATGTGGTCTACGCTATAGCATTCAACAATCCTTATGGGTATGTTTCTCCCTCACGTACTCCTTCATTAATTCATACGTTCGGGCCTCCATCTATCAGGGGATGAAGGGAAATAGAGAGGAATAAAATTTATTGAGCGCCTGGTATGGGCTTAGGAATCCTTTTCGACCCTTCCTTCAGTGCATGGAAAGCCTTCGGGACAGGTATTACTCTTCAAAAGAATATACAACTTCAAGTACTCTTCCAGGGGTCACTCAGAGGTAGGGGAGAGCTATGTTTATTTTCAGCAAGACTGAGCCCCTGACCTTGGCAGTTCCCAGGTATTTAGAAAATTCCTGTTGATGTTCATAGAGGCCCTGGATAGGGTGACATGCATATGCAGTTACAGCGTGGTTTACATCTCAGCTTTGCCAGGAGACAAAAACGCATGTGAAACAGGCTAATTAATAGTACCAAGAACAACAGAATCATTAGAAGCCGAGCTCTGGTTCGCTGACTTTGTAGAGTAAGCCATATTTTCTGTCCTTGTACACAACACTCTCCCGATGTCTGCAGTGTCCTTGGGTGTTTGTAGCAGTGAGGCTGCCCACTGGTGCACTTAACTGCTCAAGCGCTAGTTGGATTTGTCTATAAAGCTGTGTTTTCATTCTAATTCTGTAATTTTTTTTTTTTTTTTGATACCGGGGATTGAACTCAGGTCCCTGTGCTTGTGAGGCAGGCAGTTTCCAATTCTGCAATTTGTTTATTTATTAATTAAAGATTGTAAACATACATGATAACAAGAAATGAAGATACTAAATAAAAATTTCAAATATACATATATATGACAGCAAAAAATGGGATATGAAATAAACAAAAATTTATGTAATACAGACTAATAATCGAAATATATTATAAGTTTGATATGATCTTCAAACATTATGTTCTTTCTCATTTTCTTATCGTATAATATTTTTGAAATAATGTAATTACAAATAAAACAAAGTTACATATTATAGTTGAGAAACTGTCCTCAAAATTTTATGATTTATAAACTCCTTGGTTTTATTAATTGATAAATATCATATGCTTGTTGATTGTACCACTTACGTTTTCTAACAAAACTTCCCACATAAAAAAATACACTTATATTTGAAATCCAAAAGCAACTAAAAGAATTCACATTTTTAATATCAGATTTTTCTGTTTCTCTTTTATTATATCCCATACTTATTTTTATATTTTTATAAGCATAAGATAGAATTTAACACCAATACAAATGTAATATTCTTCCCAAATGAATGACTATGAATTAAGTCAAGCATGTAATTTAGAGAAATCATAAGGTTGCCAGATAAACTATCAATATGCCAAATGTGCATAATCCTACCACATTCATGACCATGTTTCTCATTTAATAGTGCATACATATGTGTAAAAACATACCCCCACACATATACACAATGCATATTTTCTACAATACAATATATACTTTAGTACAATAACCCAGTGCAGTGATGTGTGCAATGTTGGTGATTTGTGTAATTTGAGAAAAAACAAATATCATCTTTGAGGGAGTTGGGGAATTTGTAATATGTACCAGATACTAAATGATATTAATGATTTATTGAAGTATAGTTATGATAACATTTACTTAAATTGATATTCATCATCAGTAGAAAATAGGTACAAAGATATATTGATAACAGCACAAAATTTGTCTTAACAAATTTCCAACCAAACAAGCTGTAGTGACAGAAAAGGAAATTTGTAGAAAGCAGAGATGAAAGAGGAAAATGACAGGTGGACCTTAATACTTATCATAGTACTCATATATACAGATTTCATAAATTCTCAAATAAAAAAGCAAAGAAAATGAGAACCAAAATAACTCATCAATTTGGTAGACCAACATATAAAGACAAGGATTAATGTGTTGATAAATTTTAAAAATATGAAATATAAAGCCTGAGATTTAGCTCGGTAGTGCTGCACCTGCCTAGCCAGAACAATGTGCTGAGTTTAATCTCCAGCATCAGAGGAAGAAAAAGAAAAAAGAAAAAAAAGAAGAAAAGAGAAAGAAAGCATTTTTACTTTCTGACATACTCAATAAATTAAAAATAAATTATTTGTTATCTCTTCCTCTTGAATTGTTCCCTTCACAAGGATGTAGTGAACTTCTTTGTCTCTTTCAATCAGTTTAGGTTTGAAACTTACTTTGTCTGTGAATAAGATTGCTACCCCTGCTTTTTTGGGGGGGCTCCTGTTACATGAAGAAATTTTCTGTCCTTTCACTTTCAGTCTATGGGCTTCTTTTTGCACTAAATGTTTCTTGTATACAACATATTACTGGATTTTTTTGCTTCTTATTCCATTCTGCCAGTCTATTTCTCTTGATTGGTGAATTGAGGCCATTGATATTGATGGTTATAACTGATATGTAGTAACTTATTATTGTCATGTTTTTTTCACCTTCTCCTTTTAGTTTCTTGGCTTGCCTATTTGATTTGCTCTGTTGGGCCTCATTGTGTTGTTACCTTCATTGTCTTTTTCTAGGACATTGCTTAGAATTTGTTGTAGTGCTGGTTTGGTATTCATAAAGTTTCTCAGGTGTTCTTTATCATGGACATATCTTATTTCCCCATCCATTTGAAAGAAAGTTTTGCAGAATACATCAGTCTAGGTTGGAGGTTGTTTTCTTTTAGTATTTGAAATGTCTTATTCCAGGCTCTCCTTAACCTAAGGGTTTGTATTGAAAAGTCTGCTGTGATTCTGATTGGCTTTCCTTTGCATGTAATTTGTTTCTTGTCTCTCTATAAGGGTTTGTATTGAAAAGTCTGCTGTGATTCTGATTGGCTTTCCTTTGCATGTAATTTGTTTCTTGTCTCTTACTGCTTGTAGTATTTTGTTCTTCTGTTAGGTTTCTAGGATCTTGGTTATTATATGTCTAAGTGTAGATTTTTTTTGATCATGGCTAGTTGGAGTCCTATATGTCTCACTTACCTATATGTCAAATTCTTCCCCTCTGTTTGGGAAGTTTTCTATAATTAATTCTGTGAACAGCTTTTTTAAGTCATTTGCATTTTCTCCTACTACTTCTTGAATTCCTATCAATCTTATGTTATTCTTCTTTGTATCGTCTAAGAGTTGTTGTATCCATTTTTCATGATCCCCTACTGTTTTTAAGAGAACTCTCTTTTTTTTTAAATTTAATTTATTGGTACATTCTAGGAGAGACCTCTCTTTTCACGGTCACTGACTGCAATTTTATCTTCTATATCTGAGAATCTATCTTCGGACTCTTTTATTCTTTTGTGAACACTCTCAATGGAGTTTTTAATCTCCTGGATATCTGTTTGAATCTGTCCTATGGATTCCATTTCTTTCTTGTATTGGCATTTATTGTTTCCAATTATTTCTTATGCTGGGCATTCATGGCTTCTATCATGGTGCTGAGCTCATGTACTTTCCTCTCAGTTTCTGTTCTAGAGTCACGAATTATAACTTTCATTTTGCTCGTCATCTCTATGATTATCTGGGAAATTACTTCTGTTTTATATTTCTCTGAAGCCTGATTGATCAGTTTTGTTACTTCCTATGCTTTGAGTTCAGGGTGTCCTGATGATTCACTGTCAGACTTTTCATCTTCCTTTGCCCCACTGTTTGCCATTGGTGAACTGGAAGTCTGTCCCTGTATGTTGCTTAAGGATTTTCTCATTTTTACTATTGTTGTTGGGTTGTCCTTAGTTTAACCTTTAGGTTATTACTTAAATCTTCCTGATATAGTTGGGTTGCAGCCCATGGGTCTCTAATGACTCATAGATATTCTCATTTTCATAATACCAAAGAAAACAGCTCATTGAATCAATCACAATCCCTTATCCTAATTGATACAATCAGCACCACAATATAATGAAGCACAATTTGCAAATTGACTTATGGTAGTCATCAGTCTATCACCTTCAAACCATGTGAATTAAATTAATCAAGAAGCAATCCAACATATGCTTACAGTGAATAAACTTTTCAATAAGGACATTTACCATTTAGAATGGGGGCTTAAGACAGAGTTAAGACAAGAGGAGTAGTTAAGTAAAAGAATTAGAGAAGGTTTCACATGAAGCCAGAAGATGTAGAATGATCAGACAATCATCAGGAAACTGTTAAATTCAAAAGGAACAAACAAAATAGAAGTATAATAACCCTTGAGTGAGGTAGAATGACATAAGAAAATAACATCAAGAAAAGAGAAAAAATAATAAACAGAAAACAGAAAGCAGAAACAGAAAGGGAGATGAGGGGTACTATAGTGAAGTAAGAGACTGAGCTGGAGAAAGAAAACAGAAAAAGAAAGAGAAAAAAAGAATTTGCAGAGTGGAATGAAAAATAAAAAGAAACAAAAATGAGTTTGAAGGGTCTCTTTCAGACTATATCACGGCTGTCATAATATACAATATGTGCTGCCATGTGCAGAGCCAAGTCCCTTGACCTCAGCTAGCTGGTGGCCAAACCCTACGATGCAGACTGACCTTGGGCTGCAAGGCCCAGACTGAGTTCCCCGACCTCCTGAAGAGTTGAACTCCACTTAGTTCTACTATAAGTTTCCCCCACCCCTTCTTTAAAGATGTTCAAAGTTGAAAGCACCAGAAAATACTCTTTATGACCACCTCTGCCTCTACAGAGTAGGTCCAAAGACTGGCACAATCAGGAGGTCTAAATGTGCGGGGGGTGGGGGCTCAGGGGTGCCCACGCAGCTACCTTTCTGGCACTGAAGATGGTGGCAGTGGCGCCAGCAAGGGAGAACCTGGCTGAGGAGACCCTCTTGGGCTGAAGATGGCGGGAATGCCCCAATTCTGTAATTTAATGTGGAGTTTAATTCCATCAATTATTGACATAATTTAAAATATTACAAAAATTAATGAAATGTGAATGTAGAAGGAAAGCTGTTGTGTTCTATAAAAACAGGCAAGGTAAATCTTTGAAAAAATTTCTTACTAATGGAAGTTGTGGATAAGATACAAGTTAATTAGAAGATGAATTGTGAAAATATGGAAAAATTCTGCACTCTGATTATTCCACAAATATATTTAAATTTTTTTTAAGTTTCTCATACCATTTTAAAGAAAACTAACCAGGGCATGATGGCACATGATTGTAATAACAGCACTCTGGGTAACTGAGGCAGAAGGGTTACAAGTTTGAGTCCAGCCTGGGGAACTTAGCCACTTGAGGAGACCCTGTGTGAAAGTTAAAAAAGAAATTAAGAAAGAAATGTAGATAGATAGATAGAACGAAATAAAGAAAGAGGCCTAAGGATGTAGCTTAGTGTAAAGGCCCTGGGTTTAGTCCTTATTGTGAGGAAAAAAAAAAAAGAAAACTAGAAATTATAGTGGTTTGATATCATTTCTGTTACATAATGAATTCAGTAGTTGACTCAGAGTCAAAGAAAAGGCTTTGACCTCAAGTCAAAAGATTAGCAAATGGCCAAGGATTTAGCTCAGTGGTTCTACCGCCTGCTTCGCAAGCACAAGGACCCGAGTTCAATCCCTGGTACCAAAAAAAAAAAAGAAAAAAGATTAGCAAATGAATATACAGTGGACCTTTGACTTATGAACTTGATCGATTTCTGAGGAGTGGTTGTAACTCAAGTTGGTTGTAAGTCAGTACAGCTGAGATCTGGATATTTACCTAGTTACACATTACAGATAACAAGAGGCAGATAAATCTTCCATTAACCTAATTAATCCAGTTGTTTGTATGTCAGGCCGGTTGTAACTTGAGGGTCCACTGTATATTTGTATGTGTTTGTGTAAAATTTTTAACCATGTGTAGTCAGGGTTTGCAAGGGAATAAATTTAACACAGGACATATGATTTATAGGATTCTTTTATAATATTTACTCTAAAAGTCAAATGCAGAGGAGTGCAAGGGGTCTGCCCATGTGCTAGAGACCCAAAGGATCCAGCTGAGGGCCTGGATCCCACAGCAATGTCCCACACAAGTCCAGCTGGAGCCCACAGCAATGTCTCATGCAAGTCTGTGTCAAGAATCTTCCCTGGGGAGGCCCAAAGGCCAATGGTAGAAGCTAGAAAGTCTGCACCATGTGTGTGTGTGTGTGTGTGTGTGTGTGTGTGTGTGTGTGTGTGTGTGTGATCTGTGCTACAAGGCTGAGGGATCTGTACTGGAGCCAGGAAGTGACACTGAAGGCAAAGATAAGATCTCTCTGAAGAGAACAGCAGACATCCCTGGAGACAGTGAGGACCTGGAGCTCCTCCTTAAGCTCTTCTTCCTGCCAGAACAGCTGAGTTCCTACCAGCAAAACCAGCCATGGCTATCTTCTCCAGGAAAATCAACAGTGTGCAATCTTCCCCATCCATTGTTCTTTTATGTCATCTTGGCAACAGTCTTCAGGCAGATCTTCCATGCCGAGAACCACAGTGACTCAGTTCAGCTGGGCGTTCCCACCTAAGCTGACCATTAATTCATCCACCACAATGTGTATCTTTTTTTTTTTTTATAATTTCATGAATGATTTTTTTCTCTGGTTTAGTAAATGTAGTTCACCCACTACAACAAAACAGTAAATAGCTTAAAAGCTAATTGGAACAGACCACTGTGTTTTTCCTGGTTTGAATGTCTTCGGAAGTGGCGGTGTGACATAAGAACCTGACCCTGAAGGATGAAAGACGAAAGGTGAGAGGACATCAGCAGCTCAGGATTTCAGGTGGGCGACGCAGCAGGCAGTGCAGCAGGCGGTCTCTCCAGTAAGCATTTCCTGTGGAGAAACAGAAGCGGGTGAGGTCAGAGCAGCTGTGCGGTTTCAACTGTTCCTCTGGACTGAATGGCTGTCATGGGGTTTGGAACAAAGGAATGGAGTAATGCGTGCACTGTCGGGAAGGGTTGCACTGGCAGAGAAGGGGTCAGGCTGGGATGCAGTCCGAACATCCACTCGTGTGCCAGCGAAAGCTCTGCCCGAGGGACAGAGGGGACTGAGGACTCACCTAGGCATTTGGTGCACTTGGAGTAGAAGTTTGACATCCAATTAAAGACCTGATGCCCAGGTCTCTAATGTCATTACTTCTTTTTAAAATGTTGTGCTTTCCGAAGCACATCGTGATGGTAGTATCAACCTTAATTGGCACATTAAGTTATTAAATATGACAAATTACAGACAATTTGGCTTTGATTGATACATTTTGTATATTCTACAGAGTGACAGTTTTTATAGTACAGTACCTTATACCAACTCGTGGAAGTGAAAATTGTATTAAAATTGTAAGTGCTACTGTTTTACACGGCTGGTATAATTCTCGTTTTTAGCATTGCAATTCTCTATAATACAATGTCATAATTTTAATCATCTATTTAATAGACAAGATGTATTTCTGGGTGTCTATCTGAGAACAAAATTTTCCAGGAGTTGAGAGGTGAGGAATGGGTTCTGGTTCTTCTACCGGATTCTATCAAGAGCTCTGATGAAAATTCCTCTTGTCCAATTATGTAAGTAGTTATCTCAGTCTGACGGTTTATTTAGGAGGTGTGATCAAAAGATATGGTAAATATTTTCATTAAAAATTTTGTTACAGTAAAAGATACATTGCCTTTAATTCTCCCCAAAATACTCTTCCTCACCTCAAGCGCATTGTTCTCACCAGTTTCCCATTGTTCTCACCATTTCCGAAGCATCCCGAGAAGCCCTATTTTTTAAATGTCTACTTGCGGGCTGGGGATTTAGCTCAGTGGTTCTGGTGCCTGCCTCGCAAGCACAAGGACCCGAGTTCAATCTCCGGTACAAAAAAAAAAGTTGCACAAGTGTCTACTTGTATTGTCCTGGCTGCCTTGATGTCCTGAATTGATTCAAAGTGTGTTCCTTTCCTTGCCATTTTTACTTTGAGGAAGAGCTAGAAGTCCTGTGGTGCCAGATCCTGTGAATAAGGTGGATGAGGACATACTGTATTGTGTTTTTACAAGCCTTCCTTCCTGTTGGGTAGCAGCATCAGTAACCATATTTCTACCCATGAAAGAGGACTTAAGCACTGCTTAAGAAAGCAGCAAGAGTGATGGGATACGTGTGTTGGAAGGGAGGAGGTATTTTTTTGAGGGAGTTAATGACAATGACAATATGTCTTTTGCTGTAATAATTTCAAAAAGTTTAAACAGTCAATCATTCAATGTATATTTTTAATCATGGTTCAAATGTGCTGAAGCAGTGGCTTCCATTGCTGCTCTTGGAATTTTGCTTTCAGCTCAGTAAACAGTAAAAGGAGTGTGGGGTGGGGGAGAGAAGGAGAGAAAGAGAGAAAGTTTTAGTGTTTATCTACTTCATACATGAGGTGAGAAATAAGTTTTGATTTAATAAAATAATTCTAAAAGATGCTGAAATTAATATCTTTTATAAGATGATGTCATCTGGAATTATAACAGTTTATGATAGAACAGAAATTGGTTAAGAAACAACAGCAACTTGAGACTACTGTATTTGAGGGGAAGGAAGGATGGCAAATCGGACTGAGGTGACTTTGAGCACTGAGGCTTTGAGCTCGTCTTGAAAAGAAGATGAAAAATGGCAGCGGCAGATGGGAAGTGGTCTGGTGCTCCGGCCTGGATCGCAAAGAAGGAGCAGGGCAGCTGAGAGACTCTGGGCAGCCAGCCGTCCTTGAGTGTGTGGAAGCTTCGGTGGTTTGTGATGTTCGCCAGGGTGAGCTGCCCTCAAATGTCGACAGAAGGGACCTTGCTTACCCGTAGTCTGAGAGGCCGCAGAACTACTACATGGGTGGCTTGGGAACCAAGAGATAAAAGCAAGACCTCAGTGTTGGTGCAGCTGTGTTGGGTGTGTGCAGTTGGCTTTGGGATGTGTATTTTGGATCATAAGGTCCCTTACACTTTTGAACAGTGAAATTACAGCATGAACGATAACCCAGCTGGTGAAGCTTTTGTTGACCTTGGTATAAAGGGTACGCATGTGCTGTTAAAAGAAAGTTTAGTGCCAAGAAAAAGGTTAATCAGGCTAATCTTTTTCTGACCTCAGTGGATGTAGCAGTGTTGCTTGAGTCACCCAGGAAAGTTTCATGTTAGAAAGTCTTAATCACCTCTGTATCCTGTTTAAAATTTTTTTTAATATGTGGTCTCACTATGTACTTAATGTTGGCCTTGATCTCACAGCAATCCTCCTGCCTCAGCCTCTCAAATGTTGGGATTACAGTTGTGCGCCACCACACAGAGCTTCTACATCCTCTTATAATCAGACTATTGCTATTATTTTCTCAAAGAGTTGTGCATTATCTAATTTCTCACAGCCTTAGTAGCCTTATCATTAATTTAATTTATGTCTTTGTATTTTTTTTCTTTTAAAGTCAGTGTTACCTTTTCTACATAACTATTAACAGGAATTTTCTATAGTTAAACAGCTAAAACTAAATATTATTCACATTAATGTTATAATTTCCAAGCTAAGTCTTTGCCTTCATTACATTAATTTAAAAATATATTTATACATTTAATGCAAGAGCTGTAAAATTAAACATAAATTGATGTCATTCAAAAATTAGCTCTTTTTTGTTATCCACTGAAACAAATATAGGATTGCTTATAATTAAAAAAAATTTTTTTTTGTACTAGGGATTGAACTTGGGACCCTGTGCTTGCAAGGCAGGTGGTAGAACCACTGAGCTAAATCCCCAGCCAGAAGTAAATTTCTAAGCAGATGGACATACATAGATTAATAGCTCTGATCTGAATATAGTATAACATATAAGTTTGATTTTTTAAAAATCCATACTTTTAAAAATTGCAGTGACAAAATCGCCACTGGATCCTTTGATAAGACTTGTAAACTATGGAGTGCAGAAACAGGAAAGTGTTACCATACCTTTAGGGGACATACAGCAGAAATAGTGAGTATATTTCACGTTGTTAACATTTATTTTATATTGCTGCTTTTAAAGGATCTCATTGTGAATGCAGAAGTTGTACTTTTATAATTTCCAAATTTTAACCTACTATATTAGTGTTAGTCTGTATGAATTTTACATGGCAGTGCTGATATAATTTAAAAATAACTTACGTTTTTAATAATTTACAAATACTGTGAACAAACAGCATCATATATTGGCTAAGTAGACATGTGATGTAATAAATTTGAGTGTAACATTCAACCTTGCTTTTTCTTTTTCATTCACTTGCCTTGAAATAGCCTGTTCATTGAGGAATGATGAAATTATAAATAGCTTTTAAAATAACTTTATTATATCATGCGGAATTTTTAGGCTTACTGTTTTCAGGATGTCACTAGGACTCAAATATGTGTAAATAGTCTGACACTGAATAGCTTTCACTGCCGGGGAGTGCTTGCCCATGGCTAATTTTGTGTTACATCTTCTCATCGTTAGTGAGCTAATTGGCACTTTGTGGAACAAATGGCTATTAAGGGAGCTCCTGATTTTGGGGGAAAACTTCTGTTACTTCTGTTCGTCCATGTAGTTCATGGTGCATTTATTCATCTGAGGAGAACTCATGCTATGCTTAAGGTATTTTTGTAGCCACAGGACACTGGGGTGAAAAATTGTAACTGACCCTTTAGTGGAACTCGCTGTTCATGAGGCACCGTCCAGAGACCTGGGTGTGTAGCAGTGTGGTTGTGCTTCATAGCCCTAAGAGGTAGGCACCTCCCCATTTTGAATCACAGTTGAAGCTGCTGAGGCATAGAGAATAATTTACCCAAGGTCAAGGAAGATTTAACCCCCGTCTATCGAGTGGTCAGGTCTCCAGCCTTCTTTTGCAATTTCTATCCTAGAAATATTTATGACATACTAATCATGTGTGAAGTGCTGGTTTAAAAGCTTAGGGTAGCTACACAATTAGACACCACGCTTGTTCTCCGAAGATTCTGCTGTGTAATAGGGGTAGAAGCATCAATGGATTGGTTCCAAGGAGTTGTACTTGGGCTAGAAATGGGCATTGAATCGGGGAGCAGCTGAGTTCCCTTGGCAAGAGCAGGTGTTCAGGACAGATTGACAGAAAGAGGGTGGGGTCGGCACTGGCAGAGGGAGCAGCACTGGCCAGTGGCAGAGGAGGTGGGCAACTATGGTGCACATCTGAGAGCTCAGGTGGCTCTGTGGGCTCAGAGAAGAACATCCTGACTTCCCCTGTGGTGGATGCACAGAATTTGCTAGGATGGCTGTGCACACACTAGGGGAGCTGCCTTCTGCATATGGTCTGAGGCAATGGACAAGGATCCCCAGTGTTGCCCGGCTGCCCGTGTTAAGGATGCCAATCCTTGTAACGTAATGAAAGTGAGATCACAAGGTGGGGTTAATCCAAGTGGGAAAGGTAGGCACAGGCCGTTCTGTAGATATATGGAGGACCTTATGCCATGCTAAGAAACTTAGGCAGTGTCTTGTAGACAATGCTACACTGTTGGGGCTTTTTCCACAGGAAGAACTGGCTCTTTGGGAAGGTTGGTTTTGTGACAGTGTGAAGGAGAAATGGGAGGTCAGTGAGATCAGAGGTTCAGGCCAGTTGGGAATTTGTTGTCTAAATGATAAATTCAGAAGGCAGATGAGAAGGATGTGGAGATGTTAAGGGCATGGAGGGAGAAGTTGGTTACCAAGTAATTGTGAGGCATGAGGGAAAAAGGGAACCTAAGAAGATTCCCTGATTGTGAGACTGGGTGGCTGGCAGCGATGTTTGCCAGTGAAGCAGGTTTTTGTCATGTGGCTCTCGAGTCTTACATTGCCAAGAGCTGCCTGTGTGGTATCCAAGCAAGCGTGCACTGGCAGGTTGGCTCTTTGGGGCTGGAGCTGAACATCAGGTCTGGGGAGGAGACATAGATGTGAGTCACAGGGGTCTGGGTAGCAGAAGAGACCACTGAGAAACCAAAGTTGTCCAAAGGAAAGGCAGCTTGTGGAGAGAAGACCGGCAGATTTCTGGGAAGATGAAAATCAATCTTTAGTTGCAATAACTCGTCCTTCCCAACAACAACAATAAACAAGAAGAGAAAACAAAGAGCTGTCAAAGCTGTAAAAATTGTGGAGGCCAAAGAAGCCAGCACTGCAGACATCAGGGAGGTTTAGTAGATGGCTGACCACACCTCTTAGATTTAGCCAGAATGGTTTCAGTAGAGTTGAAGAGTGAATAGAAGATGAGAAAACAGTGATGGAAAACCATTTTTTCCAAAGAATTTGGTTGTAAAGGGGGACGGGAGATTAAAAGTGATACACAGAGTCAAAGGAGGGTCTGTTTTTATGGTATGTGGAGGGGGTAAACTCAAGCCCATTTACTGGCCACTAGGAAGGATCTAGTTTGGAGGGCTGGGAAGTTAGTCTGTATAACATCACTAAGAATGCAGGGCAGAGGATTTAAGGTGGGCAGAGGAACCCTTTTGCACCCCTAGTTGAAGAGGAGGAGAGTGTGGGTGAGGTGAGGAGGTCCCTGTCTGCTAGGTGAGCTTTCCCAGGAAAGTAGAAGGAGGACCCATTGCATGCTGAGAGTGAGGATGAAAGTTGAAGGCAGGAGTGAGGGATAAGGGAATGTATTAAGCCAGGTGCGGTTGAATTAAGTAAGGACTGGCATTGAAGAATCACCTGAGGACACAAGGTGTGAAAGAGCAACACCAGTGACCCATGCAGGATTCCTAAGCTCCATTGGTTGGCTATGCAGGGAGGGTAGATGGCTGACTAAAGTCCCAAGTGCATGAAAAGTGCACCTGACAGGCAGGAACTAAGTGTTGAGGAGGATGCTGGCAGGAATGATACTTTCAGGGTGCCAGCTGAATAGGGAAGGCAGGCCAGGGGGAATGGTAGGGTAGGGAACAGAAGATTTCCAGAGGCTGGGGAGGGGAATAGCACATAAGAGAGAAAGCTTAAAGTATCAGAAGAAGTGACCAGAGGTGGGAGAGTTGGAGAGATGATGAATGTTCTAGAGAAGGTGATGTCAAGATCCAGGGTGCAGCCACAGGAGCAGTTATGGAAGAGGGATCCAGAACATGGGTCTGGGGAAATGGATGGATTGTTGAAACTTAGGGCACCAAGGACACTGAACTGATGCTGTGAGCCAGTAGTCACAGGCCTGTGATGAGGAGGTTTGACCAGAAGACTGTGAAGACAGCAAGCATTGTAGGAAACTCCTGGGAGGTGGGTTTGGTTTGTTCTTCTTCCATCTTCTGGAAGTGGCAAAAGGAGCCTGTGCCCTGCCCGGCTGGAGTAGGTGATGTGGGAATACAAAGTCTTCTTTTGGCAGGAGACTGATTCAGGACCCTCCCAAGGATATCAGGTTTCTCATATTCAACGTTTTGGTGTGGACTTGTATAAAGAATTCACTCGAATTTGCTAAGGTCTTTGAAAAATTTCCATACAAAATGAACAGTTTGAAACTCTCTAAACTCTCTTCCATTTCATGTGACTTAGGTCTGTTTGTCATTTAACCCACAAAGCACATTGGTGGCTACCGGAAGTATGGACACCACGGCCAAGCTGTGGGACATTCAGAGCGGAGAGGAGGTGTTCACCCTCACGGTACGTCCGCAGTGTCAGCAAGCCTGTCACCTGCAGTGGAAGAATGCTATAATGGGTTTGCTGACTCTACCCAAAGACTGAGGTGGAGGTGCTGGGGAAGGCAGAGGCGTTTTACTTTGTTGAACTCTTTATGTTGTGAAGAGGTCAACTCTAGCTTAGGTCCCATTATCATTGTTTGGAGAAGGCCCAGTAGGAGAACCAAGCAGAAGATTCTTTCCAGGGATGACTGTTCTCCCTCTCCCTCTCTCCTGATAATCTTAAAACCTGCCTGGGTTAGGGTGTCAGAATGACGCAGGGGCAAGGGATCAGAGGTCAAAGGCCAGAGGTCACGGCTCAGAGGGTAACCTCTTGTCGTTGCTCTTCTCGGTCACCACTGCCTGTCTGGGCACCTTCCAGTCACCGGCCACTTCCACTTTACCTCCCCCCTCCCGAGCCAGGCAGCCCACAGAATAGACTGACTCTGTTCTATAATCAGCAGGAGGAGCTGGGTAAGAAAAGTCAGTTTTCTTGTTCTTTGAAAATTACAAGTAAATTTTAAAAAAAGAAAGATTATTTTTTTCCTAAAAAATAGAATGACCAGGAGATAACCCCCGTAATTTAAAAATAAGATTAAGGTTAGGGATTTGGCTCAGTGGTTCCGCCGCCTGCCTCCCAAGCACAAAGACCCAAGTTCGATCCCTGGCACCATAAATAAATAAGAATAAGAGTAAGAGGTCTTCTTTCTTCAGTCGGTTCGCCTAGCATTATGAACACAGACCTGTTCCTCCTGATCATGGTCGTCATGATTTCCTGGGGCACTGTTCCGTTAGTACCTCTTCTTCCTGGACAGTGCACAGGGGAACGCCTGGAATGCCTAGCGTTTCCACTGCTCCTGGAGAGGGGAGCCATTTCATCTTGTGTGCCTGGAATTCGATCGCGCAGCTACATTTCACTTTCATCATTTGGAGTCAACCAGAAAACCAGTTTGCAAATGAATGGTTCTAATTCTTTGTGTCATTTGAAAATGTAACTGTGTTGACTTACTAGAATAATTAGGGGAAGGAGCAGTATGTGTCACCTGCCTCCTCAGTGGGCTTCTCAGGAGCAATGCAAGGCCATAGGGAAAGATGGGCAAGGACCACTCGGCCACTTCCTCCTTCCCATCAAGCCATCTCAAGAATTTCCCCTTTCAAAGTTATTAAATTTATTTCTTACACTGTTTTCCTTTGCCCATCAGTCCATAGTGACACATTCTTTGCTAAAAAAAAAAATTGACATAAAATTTTGAAAGGATGAGAAAATTGGGATTTTGGATCCAGATGGTTCCATTGATTCTACAACACAGAATCAGTTGATTTGCTCGAGGTCGCTTGGGCTGGGAAGGGAGACAGGACCCAGGAAGTTGCTGGATGTGTATTTCTAAAATGTGTCTCCTTTTATTTTTTTTAAGTTTTATTGAATTAAAATTAATTTGCTTTACATTTTTAGTCATCTTACAGAATTGTGTAAGTAACCATAATCCGGTGTTACCATGCCATATTGTATATGAGTATAAATCATTCCTCCTGTAGGTATATATGACAGTATCTCCTCTTCTTCTAGGGACATTTGGCAGAAATCATTTCCTTGTCATTTGACACCACCGGAAACAGAATTATTACGGGGTCCTTTGATCACACAGTCATAGTGTGGGACACTTCCACTGCGAGGTAATTCTTCATTCTTAGGAATTTAAAAATTTGCAGCTGGTCCTGAAGAAGACACTGTTATTTGTTACTTTAATCTTGACAGTATTAACTGTGGTTTTGATATCATAGGAAAAGTATACACTGATAACATAAAGTAATTTATTCTTCAATCATACGTTTGATTTTCAAAATAAGTGTTCCCAGAATTTTGGGCCAGTGATACAGGACAGTAATAGAAAGGGAGAATATTAGCAATAGCCTGATTATATTGGTATGATTTATCGAGTGCACTAAAAAAATAAAATTTCAATGACTTGTTACAAGGGTAGGTATGAATAAATATGAATGAATAGGGTGAATACATAAATCTCATAGCTAATTCCCCAAATTTAATTTAGTCCAAGAACTTCAATTTCCTTCCTAGTGATTTTTGGTTGCAGTTGCTAAGAAGTTAGCTAAATTAGCATGTTTGTGTTGGAAACTCCACTCTTGCCTGCATTTCGATAGAGGTTCTTTATCAGAGGTATGAACCGGGATGGACTCAACCAGAACTGAAAAGGAAAAGCCTTCCACCTCAGTGTGTTGTTTCTGAACAACCAGGGTGTCAGAGCACTTCTGGAATTTGTTACCCTTTCCTCTGTGAAATGATGTTTTCTTAAATGGTGTATTTCTTACAAAATTGTTTTAATTGTGCCTATTGATGGAGTACAATGTGATGATTCAATAAATCTTTAAAGTGTGTAATGATCAAAGTAGGGTAATTAGTATTTCCATCTTCTCACACGTATTGTTTAGAAATTTCTGATTATCGTATAACAATTGTCCATATCCTGGAGTACAGGGTAACATTTCTTTTCTTTTTTTGGGGGGGTGCCGGGGATCGAACTCGGGTCCTTCTGCTTGCAAGGCAGGCAGGAGAACTACTGAGCCAAATCCCTGGCCCCAATACAGGGTAACATTTCAATGCAAGTGTGCAACGTATCCTGTCAAAACCGCAAACTGAATGGAACTGGATGACTTTATGCTGAGTGAAGTTGCTTAGGCCCAGTAAATGTCACCTTTGAGTCTTTAAACTTGAGGTGCAGTTTTGTTGAAATTAGGAGCTTCCTTTTGCTCTCTAGCAGAATTTTTGTTTCATTGTCAAAGATATTTGTAAAAATCAAAATTCACATTACTTCACAGTGAAGGGCTTGAGCCCTGTATTTCTGTGCATACCCTGGAGAGAGCTCTTTCAACACTTCTGTTCGTTTCTCGTCTGTAGGAAGGTGCACACCCTGATCGGTCACTGTGCTGAGATAAGCAGTGCTGTATTCAACTGGGATTGCTCTCTTATACTAACTGGCTCCATGGACAAGACCTGCATGGTGAGCTTGAGAAGCCTCTGTGGTTTCCATCGGGTCCATATTTACATCATCTCAGGCTTTCGTCATAACATAAACAAGTTTCAAAGGTGATAGGAAATTGAGATATTAACTTATATATAATGATTAGTAATATTTGATCTCAAGTTTTACATTTTCCAGTTTGAAGGAATTAGGAGGTGGTAAAACAATTTTGATTGCTTTAAGTCTTAATATCTTTTATTTTTTGTGGTACCAGGGATCAAACCCAGGACCTTGTGCTTGCAAGTCAGGTGTGATACCACTGAGCTAAATCCCCAGCCCCTTAATATCTTATTTAAAAAGAGCACTTTATGGATCACCCGGCGGTGTGCGCGTGAGCTCCCGGCCTGCGCGGGAGCTCCCGGCCTGCGCGACAACAGACCCAGGAAGGACCC